AAAGATAAATCAAAAGAATGAATCAGCTTACAATCATAGTATACACAGCTTCACAAAATGCAAACCGATAGAAGTAATCACAGAACATTTTGACCCTCGCAATCTTTTTGACATAGATCAGTCTGCCCATTTACTTCAACAGTATGTAGTAAACCACAAAGACAGAATGACTGAGACCTATAAAACTATTCACGACCTATGTAACGACATGCGTAAAGATTTGACTAATATTCGCAATAAAAACCGCGAACCGGAAGCTGAGTATTCCCCAAAACAACAAATATTTATAAAGAATCCATTCGCATCGCGTCAGAAATTAGCCCCTAGATACACACACGACACAGTAATGGAAAATCTCCCAATTCACATCTATACAAAGAAAAAACGAGGCCCCATAACAAAAACCCGATTAAAGAGAATACCTGAAACAAACCAATTGTTACAGGACTCTTCTGGTACTTCATCTCCTTCTGGGACCAGCTCTAATGCAGGAGATAAGACTTGAAAGTCTTAGTGATGGACCTGGTATATTACCCTTCAAACTTGGCCCCACTCGAATCCTATCCCACTACCATGCATTTCTAAAATATGTAGATATTCAAGAATTAGGAGGCAAAGTAAATTCAGTTAAAACACAGTTAATTAGTATTACTCCTAACATTAACAATATAACTAATTCCTTATTTCAGCCTCATATTGATTATCTTAAAAATAAGTTTTAAAGCGTCACTATAAAGTTGCAAAGCTTTAAAACGAACCGTGAGAAAAGAGGACTTGTAGATGGTCTCAGTTCTATTATAAAAATTATAACCGGTAACCTTGATTATACAGATGCAAATCATTTTAATCGCGCAATAAAATCCATTCGCGAAGACGAAAATAAAATGGTAACGGAATTTAATAACTACGTAAGCTTAACTAAATATTTGACAAATCAATACTCCAAAATAATAGAAAGCATTTTGGATAACCAAAATAAATTGGAAATATTAATAGGTAAAATAAATCAATCCGATGCTACTAGAGACTACGATTTAATTAAATATGCTCATTTTGCACAATTGCTAATGATCCTTAGTGATAACGTTGATTCCATCTCACAGGAATTAAGTAAATTACAGAATAACTTAGCATTTATAAGAGCTAACACTATGCACCACCCTATAGTCAATTTAGAATCTATCCGAATAATGACTAATCGTGCAACCGAATTTTATGGAGGTAAAAAGGTAGGAGATTTAGATATTAGAGAATATTATGACATTATTAGATTAGGCTCATATTATGTAGGAAATGAAATAGTTATAGTATTTAAGTTCCAGATTCTATTACCCCATATACGATATGTATAATTTATCTATTGTTCCTAAAAAGAAAGACGAAATCCTTACACCACCCTATCCATTCCTAGCCATTTATCAGAAAGATTTTCAGTACATAGAGGCAGAATGCCCGAAGACCAGTAAATGGTACATCTGTAAGGATAAGCGGAGTCTGAGAATTCAAACATCTCCTGATTGCATCCATCATCTCATCATAAAACAAAAGACAAATGCAGGTTGTAACCCGCTCACAGTCACCTTAGATAAACCGGCTTACGAAGAACTGGACGACAAGCATTACACCGTCACATTCCCTACACCAACGAATGTACATCTATCGTGTGGCCAAGATTTCTACAAAATAGTTAAAGGTAGTTATCTCGTTGTTATACCTCTCAAATACTACATAGAAACGCCTCTATTCTCGGTCTGAAAAACTAAAGACAGATTGAAGGGACAAGCTTTAAAAATAATGGACATACATGAGGAAAACACCAGCATCCTATCTCCTATTTTGGCATATAAACTAAATTCAATAAACTTTCAACATCTTCATACGAACACCAAAATATCCCAACAATCTCCAATAAATCTAAGTAGGAACGATGGCTACAGTCTATACCATACTACAATACCGTTTTACGCATTAATAATAAGTGCAGGTGCACTGATTCTATGTATACTATATAGAAAGTACAAGTTGAAACCAACTGAAAGTACGCAGAGGAATACAGAAGAAGACCATCCTGAATCATTAAGGATATACGCAGTTCCAAGCGCTGAGAAGGATAATACCGATCAACTACCAGCTCAATTCACGACCAAGGTCTTTCATAGTCGCTGTTCTTCGGGGGGAGGTGTTACGCAGCCCTAATCTAGGCAATCTGCAGCGTTGCATCAGTTTACGAGAATCACGATGCACCGCGTCAGAATAACGTGTGTACTGTGTTATATTACCTGATTCTGATATTTTACCGTGTGAATTCATTCTAGATTCAAACTCCGAATTAGAGTCACCTCTTTTAGTTGTAATAATTAATTGTAATTATTATTGTAATTTAAATATATTTTAAATAAAGATTGGTTTTGTTGCAACCTCTGGCTGGAGCCCACTAATTAATATATATTTAATATACTAACATAAATAAATAAATAATACATAAATAAATAAAAGCTCAATCAGATCGTAGCCCTCGGCCGGGGCCTCGGAACGGCCGAGGGTTAGGGGGAAAGGGAAATAAACCGGTGGACGATGCAGGCGTTATTGAGAAGCACCGTCTTCTGCATTTGAGCCCGGACTCACCGGGATGGCGACAAGCTCGACAAATGTCGATGGAGCCATCCTTTAGGATGTATCTCCAATAGTTATTGGTCTTAATAACCTGATCCTGTATTGCACAGACAAAACCCTCAGTTTCCCCGAAGAGGTCACCGAAACGTAGCCAGTTTAGGTAGCCGACTGTATCTACGAAGGGCTCATGTAGAGCCCTGTAGTACCTTCCGTTAAGCTCCTTCTCCTTCCATACGGTCTCCCGGTCGGAAATGCTAAGCACTGCTTGGTCCAGCCATTGCTCGTTGGCTAAGGATAGAGGGGTAAGTCTAGTCCTTTATCACTAGAAATGACGTCATTATAGAATGGATCATCCAATCTCGCCAGGAAGTAATCACGGAGGCTGCACACTTCGCGATTATTCATGGTGAGCGCGCTCAGAAAGCCACGCCCACCATGCTTTCGCGGCAAGTACAGCCTCATTACCGATGATCTCGGATGATGCATCCTACGGGACGTCATGGTAGTGCGGACTTTTCTATCCAGGGCGTTAAGTTCAGTCTGAGTCCACCTGAGTGTGCCAAAGCTATACCATGAGGACATGAGGACAGGCATGACCCAACCATTATATGCGTGGGTCTTATACAGACCGGACAAAAGGCTGTTAAGCACTTTGGTCAAGCGTGCATAAAACACGTCGCACACTGACTGTTTCATACTAGCCTCATCGATACCGATTTTCTGTGACATACCCAGGTATCGGTATATTTCAGCCTCGGATAGGTTCTTTAATTTGACGAGCATTGATAAATTTACGCCCTCATAGTTAGCAACCCTTCCCCTGTCAACATGGAGGACCGCAAACTTCTCCGTCTCCAGCTCCATTCCAATGGAATTGCTAAATTCACAAGTGATGTTTAGCGATTCCGTAAGATGGGAGCGACTGGAGACGAATAGCTTGAGGTCATCCACATAGAAAAGGTGGGTAAATTTTGTCCCTCCTTCCTGTAGCTGAAATTCCCTCCCGGATCCCTCCAGTAAGGTACTGAGAGGGTTCAGAGAGAGGCAGAACCAGATTGGACTCAGACAGTCGCCCTGGAATATACCCCTTCTTATCCTTATGCGGCTTTCTGCAGCCGTCATCCGCTCGCCTAGATGACAGAGGATCGTACTCCACTGCCCGATACACTGCTCGAGGAAATCTCGAACTGTACGGTCAATCTTGTACAGCTCGAGGACCCTCTTTAGCCATGTATGGGGCACCGAGTCAAATGCCTTTCTGTAATCTATCCAGGCGGCAAAGAAGTTCCGACGGTTGCGTTTCACCACTTTTCCAATGACCGCGTCAATGAGGAGTGGTTTCTTGGTTCCACGACCGCCGCCCCGACATCCATTTTGAGCGCGCGACATCATCTGATTTGAGTCCAGGTGACGAGCGATTCTTGTGCTCTAAATGGATGTTAGTGTCTTGTATATGGTCGGTAGACACGTGATGGGGCGGTATTTGCTCGGGTCTGTGGCATCCTGATCCTTAGGAACAAAATGAGTGATCCCAGTAGTGAAGAGGCTTGGGAGCGACTTCTGGTTGAGAGCCTCTTGAAACTGTCGGGCGAGCACAGCGTGACACACCATGAACCCCTTTAGCCAGTAGTGATGCAGCCCGTCGAGTCCCGGACTTTTTGTGAGTTTGGGGCTCTACGGACCGCCTCAGCTACGTCATCTGGCGTTATGATGACGGGGTCCATGGGCGTAATACTCGCACACTGACTCGCCACAACTTCCGTCCAAGGGCCGTCGCTGTGGTTTACGGGCTCTGACCATTTGTCGCTCCAATTATTTATAGAGCCTCTTCTGATCACTCTGGAAGAGACGATTCTGGTTGAACCGCCTTGACCTCTCGGTAAATCGGCGAATCCGCTTCCCCCAAGCTGCGATCTTTTGCTTCAGGTTGTCTATGCCCCCGTTAGTTTCTGCGTGATATCCGGCTGGAATAAACTCATATTTGTCCCAGGAAACGCCATTTTAACGGAGTGCACAACCCTCGGTCTAATATTACCTGACCTGAAGCTTGTCAGTATGCCGATAAGGGCCCTTGCCTTTGCGATACGGTCCTCAAGTCTTTTCCTCCAGGCTGGGATGGCGCTACTTTGTTTAGTAACGCGTCCAGCCATGGGAAGTTTGGCACCAATAATACGGCAAGCTGCCACTGCTTCGCCAAAAAGAACTAAGTCCGTCTCGCAAAGGTCCCGGCTGGCTTCCAAATATGTTACCAGCATTAGGTTAAGAGCCGTCATGACAGCCCAATTTCGCTTGCTTAGGGGTATGCTGGGAATTCGCGGTCGATTTTTGAGAGGCATGCTGCGCGTTTCCAAAATCGCCTCTTCCAATATACTCCTCATTTGCTTTAGTTAGTGGGAGACCATTTCATAATCGTCCAAATCAACCACAACTGGAAGAGCCATGGCGGCTTCTACGCGTGGCAGCTGGTCTGTCGCCTGAGGAGCCGCATCCCCAGCCTTAGCCAATTCATCCAATTCATTCGATGAGGGAATGGCCTCACGTCGTAGTCGTTCGAGCTCGGTATCATCAAATATTTTCGAGTGCATGATGTACCGAACTCGTTCTGCCAGGTTTTGTTCCGTGACGGAAATAGACGGCTCCAGCTCAGCAAAAAAGTAATGCATCCAAGCCCGATACGCTATCCCTGCAGTTTCTTCCCCTTTCGCCCTATACTACGCCCGCAATGCGTTTGCGTTCATATCCCTTGTCCAACGCATGCGGCGCACTCCACCAGCGGCGGGTGCCGCTAGCCGAGTCCGAGAGGACCCTGCCGACATCAAGCCGTCTGGTGGGAATGATGGATGCGGGGAGGCTGCTAGGTGATCTTGCAGTTCCTCGCGCTCGACTGGCGGCCCGCATGCTGCCGCGTCCAGCACCAGCTCCAGACGCGCACTTGCACCCTGAGTACTGCCGAGGCATTGCGCTCACACCTCATGGCAAGGCGCTGACTGACTGCACCGACGTAGCAGTTTTGTCACTTAACTGTTTTGTCAGCGGGTGGTGGGATCGTCACTTCCCTACGCCAATTTATTATTATTATTTTATTATGTGGGGTATCTATATAGTTTTCGCATCTGATTGGGTTCTATAAATATATAATTATAAATTAAAATGTAAAGATAAATATACATAAATATCAATAACAAAAAATAAATATAAAAGTACATAAATAAATAAAAGCCCAACCAGATGGAGGCCCTCGGCAGGGGAGACCAAACGGCCGAGGGTTAGGAGGAAAGGGAAAGAAACCGGCAGTAGATGCGGGCGGTATCGAGGTGCAACGCTTTCTGCATTTGAGCCCGGAGCGGTCCGTCATGGAGTCCCAGTCGCCTCAGATGACCCGAGAGGCTGACTGGGATTAGCCCATTCGCAGAGACGACTACGGGAATAATTTCGGCCGGCATACCACCCTACATGTCGGTCACTTCGTGAGCCAGGTCCAGATATTTCACGAGTTTCTCGTCATACGGAATGGTAATGTCGACCAAAAATATTCTTGACTGTGTCCGGTCCATCAGCACAATATCAGGCTTATTCGCAAGAATAGTCCTGTCCGTGATGATGTCCCGGTCCCAGTATAGCCTGTCGCGATCATTTTCGAGCTCGGCTTCCGGCAAGTACTTGTAATACGGCAATTTCCGGTCCATGAGACCGTATTTCAGAGCGAGCTCCTGGTGTAGAATTCTGGCTACTAGGTTGTGCCTGTGCAAGTACTCAGAGTTAGAAAGCGCCGAAAAACCGGAGATGACATACCTAAGTGACTCCCCGGGATGGCGACAAGCTCGACAGACGTCTACAGTGCCATCCTTTAGGATGTATCATGTAGAGCCCTGTAGTACCTCCCGTGGAGCTCCTTCTCCTTCCATACGATCTCATGGTGGGAAATGCTCTGTACTGCCGGGTCCTGCCATTGATCGTTGGCTAAGGATAGAGGGGTAAGTCCTTTATCACTAGAAATGACGTTCTTATAGAATGGATCATCCGATCTCGCCAGGAAGTAATCACGGAGGCTGCACACTTCGCGATTATTCATGGTGAGCGCGCTCAGAAAGCCACGCCCACCATGCTTTCGCGGCAAGTACAGCCTCATTACCGACGATCTCGGATGATGCATCCTACGGGACGTCATGGTAGTGCGGACTTTTCTATCCAGGGCGTTAAGTTCAGTCTGAGTCCACCTGAGTATGGCGAAGCTATACATGAGGACAGGCATGACCCACACACAGGCACAGGATAATTCGATAATACCTTCCTGTGCCAAACCACCGAAGTTGTATGGGTTACCAAAGATACACAAACCGAATGCTCCATTACGTCCAATAGTGAGTCAGATTGATTCGCCAACTTACAGATTGGCTCAATACTTAGCTAAAATATTATCACCACTCAGAGGACACACAAGAGCACACACTAAGGATTCATACCATTTTGTCAGTGAGATAAAAGACCTACATCTTACTGACAATGAAACCATGGTCAGTTTTGATGTTCAGTCTCTATTTACATGCCTACCTGTTGAAGACTGCATCTCAATTATAACTAGGAAACTAGAGGAAAATAACATGCCAGCAGAATATGCAGTATTACTAAGACATTGCCTTACATCTGGCTATCTATTGTGGAAGGAAGAGTTTTACAAGCAAGTAGATGGTGTGGCGATGGGCTCACCTGTATCTCCCATTGTCGCCGATATATTCATGGAAGACTTTGAGGAGAAAGCCCTCCTTACTGCACCTGTTACACCAAGGATCTACAAGCGGTACGTAGACGATACTTTCACAATTTTATCATCAGACAAAGTAACTGCATTTTTAGAACATCTTAATTCCATAAACGCTAAAATTCAATTTACTATGGAGTTAGAGGCAAATAATTCCTTACCTTTCCTAGATGTGTTAGTCATCCGAAATCCTAATAACACTATTAGTCACACTGTGTATAGGAAAAAGACCCATATAAACCGATATTTAAACGGTGAATCTCACCACCATCCTTCACAGTTAGCTACCGTGGGCAAATCTTTGTTACAGAGAGCACGAGGGATCTGTGACAGCAAACACCTGGCCGCCGAGCTTCAGCACGTCAAGCAAGTTCTGCACGACAACAAGCTTCGGGTCCCGCGCCTACGTCACAGTGACCGAGTGAAGCCGGCCACAGTCGAGCGTGTGCCTGCTGTACTACCATATGTCAGAGGTGTCACAGACAAGATTGGCTATATCTTGAAGTGAGCTTCTATTAGAACATTCTACAAGCCGCCGAAGAAGATTAGTCAGTTCCTACCATCCGTCAAGTGTCATATTCCTCTACAAGATGCAGGAGTGTACAAGCTTGATTGTGAATGTGGTCTCTCTTATATAGGACAAACCAAAAGATCAATTAGGACCCGCGTAAAAGAACATATAGCTGATGTGAAGCATCAACGTTCCGGGAAGTTCGCAGTTTGTGATCATATCCTAGACGGCCCCAACCGTTACATTAGATTTGATAGACCACAAATCCTCGCGAAAGAACACCGATTCCTACCAAGGATGATACGTGAGGCTATTGAAATTAAAAAACATCCTAATTTCAATAGAGGAGGAGGCTGGGTACTACCACCTGCTTGGGATCCTATAATCAATAAAATTAAAACTAAACCCAAGCATACCACTGCAAGACCTCAGGACATAGTCAGTTCATTTTGCATAGATCGGACCATAAACAATAATTAAAAAGCTGAATATACTCCGGGCTTAACAATGACATCGGAAACGTCAGTCATCTCAGTCCCCCCGTAACCATGGGTGCTGGAAAGCTCCCGAAACGTCAGGAATTAAAAAAAAAAAGTAAAAATAAACGCGATAAAATCCGTAAAAGTAGTTTTAATTAAGGGCAAGATATCGGCGTATTATGGAGGCAACCTGATCATGCCGATGCTTATAGTCGGTTTGTGCAAGGGCTCTATAGGTGGATGTTATGTATTGTATGTTTTCGGAGCTAGAGTGGAAATGTCTGCAAATATCAGTGGGGAGGTTAGGTGTACGTATTATGTGTCTCTGGAAGTTTCGGGTGTCGATGACCTGGTCCTGGATCGCTAACATGAATTCCTCCGTCTCTGGAAAGAGTTCACCGCGCCTCAGCCAGGCGTTCGACGTTTCTTTGTCGACATGTGACAGCTGCAGGTCGTGGTAGTGCCTTCCGTGTAGGGACTTCTGTTGCCACGAGGCCACCTTCTCTTTTACGTCAGTGATCCGTTCACTGCGTTGTGTGTTTCGGACCGCGAGGTTAAGTAGTGTGGGGCGTTTGTCGGCTAAGGTTACTATTTCGTGGAGAAGTGAGCGTTGATGGAAATATTGTCGAAGGGATTTGATTTGTTTATTGTGCAAGTTGAGGACATCTATTATACCTCGAGAGGGAAAGAGTCATCCTATTTATTATTTTGAAAATTATTCCACAATCCCTTGACAACACTACTAAAGACCTTGGAATGCGTCTTCAGTACGACGAGATGTTTTACCTTATACGTGACGAACTCGATTCTTGAAAGAAACATGTCCGCTGTTAGTATCCATATAAATCACAGTTCAGTTAACAAACTGATTTACCACGTGCTCAGCGGTGAATAAAATATCGTAAGGAACCTTTTTTCTGATATAAAACAAGTAAAAAATTATTTCGAAGACATGATAATGCAGTGCTTCCTTGCGCTAAAAACCCTATCAGAAGCGAAAAGAGGTCTGTGACCAGCAGTGGGACGTATACTGATTGTAAATTTGTATAATTTTATGTGACTAATATTTGAATAATCATTGACACCAATGAAATTGTTCGTTTCGACTATAATTACTAATTTACAGCGTGTTCGGCGGTGAAAGACACATCGTTACACAACCTGCATCTAAAAATAACATATATAATATATGACATATCATCATCAGATAATGAAAATAATAAATAACCTCGTATCGAAGTGTGCTACCAGGTAACTGGTGCCCCCTCCCCTCACCTTGCACAGACCTGAACAGTAAACATGTAGAAACACAAAAATATACAAAAATTCCAGCAAATATAAAATATAATGCTTCTTTCAAGTATCATAACAATTAGTATTTAATGAGCAGAGCGAGAGATGAAAGTTACCGTTGATGAACATTTTAAATGGGAAAAGTTTTCAGACAACGGTGCATTCGAGTTTGAACTATAACGGATATAAGCCATCGTTGAAAATACTTTTTTTTAATAACGCCTATATTTATTCTCGATTAAAAATGAAAATGTAAATGCGTTGTCACCCCTTAGAAGTAAAATAGATTGCCTCTTTCTAGTAAAAAATAGTTTCCGGTTCTCTACACTCATCATACAAATCATAGTAGCATTTTGCTGCTATTTTATGCTGTTATTTTGTGTGGGTGTGGTGCTATCTTGGTTAACCTGACCCATTGTTGCTACAATCGTAAGTAGTTTAAAAGAAACATTTCTCTACAACATATAAAAAAATATTGAAAGAGCTTTGACCAGCGATAAAAAACATGAAATCCTTTAAATAATATGTATTAAAATTAAACTACACACAACTCTGTAGGTGTTAGAGGGAACCTGTAGCTATTTTATGGCTACGGCTAACATAGATCGACCATACCCAGGT